TGTGTGTGTTAGGACCTATATATAAATAAATGGGATATCCCCGATAACATCTCAACATCGTTAATGCGTCAAACGTGACAATAATAATTTCCATCACTTAATTATGTGCAGAAGTTACCCCCTCGTTCAGGTATGCCTCGGGTCAACGTGTAATTAATTGAAACGGAAATTTGTCTCCTAAATTATAATCTACGTTAAAGATAACGTTAAAAATACCCCCCTAAATAATATATATTTTGATGCTATAAGGAGAAGCTTAAACGAGTGCTGTAAAGGGGTTCGAAAGAATAAACGCGTTTTGAGGAATTCCTTCCAAATATCAGACGAGGGAGCATAAAAGTATGATATATCGGGGTTATTCTATTATACACACTTTAAAGTCGTAATATGCGGCGCTATATAGAGGTAGTTGATTAGAAAGGCTACATTTAGGGGATATTCACCCAAGTGAACTTCGTTCCTAGCCTTATTTAGAGTTATCCACTTTAAATAACATGCACTTAAACATCCCTAAATGAGGGTACGCTATATAGAGGTTAAGTTGGTTAGAAGGAGTAATAAAAATATATATTATTTAGGGGATATTCATCTAAATTTGTTGCGAAAAGCCGTGTTTAGCAGGGTTACCTTCATTTAGCGGGGATGTTCCTCTAAATAACGCACTGTATGAAGCTATAAGGAAAGACGTAGAGCTTAGAAACAAGAGCCTCATTTAAGAGATGTTCATCACATTAATAAATTAGATAAGAGTAATGCAAATGAAACATTGTAAGAGATAGAGGGAATGTTTATTTGACAGTGTGAGGAAGAGGAACGTGAAGAATTTGATGGGAAGAATTCGAGACCCAACCGACTTTAACCCTATAGCCTCACTCTGCGGTAGGTAATGTCAACCATTTTACCTCCGACCGATCACTTCTCTGCAGGGATCCTCGCTTTCTGCAGCAGGACCCTCTACTGCTAGACGTCGAAGATCGATGGTACTATCCGAGGTATAAGTTTGGTGCTACTCCACTACAAGTAATGTTATATGGCTCTCGTACATGTGCGGGAGTTTTCTGTTACTTAAAACACATCTTCTCACGGGTTTAACTGATGTTTAGCTAAGTGTCGATTTGTTTTCGGCATTTAGGAGAGTCTAATAGGTTCAGAAGTTCACGAAAAACATATTTCGGGTGTTTTGATTGAAAATTAGCAGACTAAAGCTGGAGGAAAACGCAATAAAGCCTTTTTATTTTAAACATTTATGCAATTTGGCATGATTCTCCTCAAAAATATTCCTAAAAACATATTTTTTTTTTTAAGAGGTATTGATAGCGCTTGAAGGTGTTATTCGGGTTCAAGTAACGTTAAGATAGGGGTGAGATTTTTCTTAAAACTCTTCTCGAGTGTTTAACTCGATATTTTGCGAGGTTTTGATTAATCCTTGGCAATTTTTAACGACTTTAGAAGGGTTTAATAAGTTCAAGAGAGGGAGGAAAGTGAATAGAGTTAGTGTTTCAGTTAAATGCAACAAAAAAATTGCATGAAAAAATATGAAAAATATATAAACAGAGCCGTGAAGAATTAAAATTCAATTTCCTTAATACATTTAGCATGTGTTTTCTTCATAAAAAAAAAAGAAAGAAAAAAAAAGGCGTATTGGCGTCATCAAAGAGTAAATTGCTGCTCTTCCTAAGGTGCATCGTTTTGTTACAAGGTTGTAGTACACTTTGACGGCATTCCTGTATTCTATCTATTGTAATAAGAAAGTGTAAAATGACGTAATTTCTGTAATGTATTGTAACGCAAAAGTGTAAATGACGTCAAATTGACATAACACTACTCTAACAAAACGAAGTAATACGACGACGTCCTTACAGATGTGGAGAGGGGACATTCTTACCTTACCTAAAACCCACTTCAAAACTAGAATTCCAGCAAGATTCAGCTTAATTTCTATCAATTTTAACGGGTTTAGGACCAAGTAAGTTTACTTTACGACAGAAAATTTGTTCAATTAAAGCATACTACAAGCGAAGTAACATAAAAGTTTAAGGAGGAGAGAAGGCAAAGAGTATAATCGAAGTTTTTTCATAATCAACCGACTAATTCGATTAAAGAATTAAATCTTTATCGAGTTTAGTAAGATCCCCCATTTTTTTTTCCTTTTTTATTTTTTCTTTTACTCGGAGAGGTGTATAAATGAAAACAAGTCTAACGCATTAGAAGCCATTTCGCTCTTAGCAAATCTTTATAAAAACCGATACAAGTACACGAGACTTCGTAATTAAGTCTATACTTGAAGGTTTTTCCCTTTGCAAACTTAGTTGTTGGTGGAGGGAAAAAAAATCCCTTGCTAATTAACCGTAGGTGGCGTAATGGGAGCAAATTAGCTGACATACTGCACGCAATTAGCCAACCTGCAGTAGGATTAAAACAAGAAAACAATAAACCTAATTGTCTTTTTCTCTCGACTCTTTTTTTTCTCTAATTACCAAAAAGGAGAGACTTTCAGACAGACTTTGCTTAAGGAAAAAAAATTCGCAAATTAACTATGTTATGTAAAAGTAGTTGCGTAGTCATTAGCGCTAACTTTTACATATCTTTCGACTTATCGAACTTTTTTGATGGTTTATTCTTTTAAAAAAAGGGATTTTTTAAGGGATTTTCTTTCTTTTTTTTTTGCAGCATTTCTTCGTTTTAGTTAGTCAATTAAGCTTTAACGAAGGTTTTGTGTCTGTGTTTTAAGCGTGTGCAGAGTTTCGCCTGATTAAAATAAAGTTAAAATGTTAAGGATTTGTGAATTTTTAGTCGTTTTAAACACTAAAATTTCATTTTTTTATGTATCGAATCGTCTTTAAATACATACTCCTTGAAGTTTTATGTAGTTTTTAGTGTTGTAGGCACATTGATGTGAGCATTAAATCTATACTTTAAGCAAGTGTATAAAGCGTTAAAGCAGAGTAAAAATATTAAAGATTTACGAATTTTTAGTATTTTTAAGAACTAGAAATTCATTTTTTTCTTTTTCGACTTATCACAAATTATTTACTTTTTTAGATTTTTATGCAGTTTTGAGTTATGTAGGCGTTTAGGAATAGGAACTAAATCCTTTATGTTTATAGTTTAAGTGTTTATTATACGCTTAAATTACTTCAAAAATATTAAAAATTTATGAATTTTTGATATTTTTAGCACTAAAAATTAATATTTTAATTTCTAAGAGCTAACATTCGAAGTTCAGCAATGCACACCCTCTTAAATATGTTTAAAACGATTTTTATGCATTTATATCCTGTTAAAACCTTCTATTTTAAAATAAATATAAGTCTGAATCATCCTAAATTTATACAAACACGAATTAAACTTATATTAATATAATATAATAACTTTAAAAAAAAACTATAAAAATGACGCATCTACGCTTATAAAAACTCAAAAATAAGCTTAAAATTCCATAATTTTATGTAAATAAACCTCAAATTTACGATTTTATAATTCATGTGAACAATAATCTATGTCCTATTTACAGCATTAAACACTAACATTATCTAGAAACACGTTTTTATCTCCATCCCCCTTACAAAAACCTTAAAAATAAAATATATCTACTCCCATTTTACTAACATAAATTTTAATTTTTTATTTAAAAAACCTTTAAATATATATATATAAATCACATAAGCATCTGATAGGTAAGAAGAACACGTGGCAGGTTATAAAAAAATGGGGGGAAGGCATCACGTGTCATGGGATAAGAACTCCACTGACAATTTTGACTATGAATCAGTGGTGTGGTTCCCCTTTCAACTTTTCGATAGTTCATTCGCGTGTTGAACTTAGTCAGGGGGTCAAGATTACACGCCACCTCGCGGAAAGATCACTCAACTCGAACTTATCATGTCTACTGTCCTTATCATGATAATAGGCAATAAATCTCCAACTGTCATCACACCAAGGTTAACCCACATATCCTCCATTTTACTTTAACAGGCTTGATATATTTGGGTAGTTTGTCCTCCCGTCGGGTCAAACTAGACTTATAACACCATTTTTATGACTAAAAATGGGATTTTTTCCTTAAAAAAGGGGTTAAACTTAACGAAGAAGGAGAGTAATTGCCACGAATGTAAATTTTATCTGAATGATACAAGGATAAGAAATACTTTCTCTTCTCCCACTCCTATTGAGTTACGTTGTAATCTGTGAAATCAAACACCCACAAACTTTTAATCCATCATATTTATCTTGTTTTTCGTGTGTTTTTTGTAATGTTAAATTAGAGCATATCGCTTAGTTTGTGCTGCATCCGGCCATAAAATTTGTTTAAATTAAGTTAAACGCCATTATGAGCTCAGTTAGGCAGCACTTCGCGCTTTAATGAATCGGAAACGTAGCAATAAATTCTATATTATTACTATTTAAACAAGCAATTTAACAATAAATTTCAGTATTTTTGATGATTTTTTAACATTAGATTGAGATTTTTCGATGTTTTCAGGCTCAGAAACGTGGCATCTCGCCTCTTATAAATTATTCTGGCTTTCCAATTATGACATACAGAGAAAAAATCACTTATATTCTTACTCATTTTCTGTTATTTCCTTATTTAGACACTTAATTTAGCTGTAAATTATTGAATTTAACGATTTTTCAATATCAAAGTACGCTATTTTAGGTGTTTTGGGGGTTAGAAAGGTGGCATCAGCCTTCTCTTCTAAACCATTCTGGCTCACCAATTATAATATACAGAGAAAAATCACTTATATTCTTACTTATTTCCTTATTTATCACTATTTAAACACTCAGTTCGATTATAAATTACTGTTTATGACGATTTTTCGACAATAAAATCTATTTTTTTCCAGGTGTTTTGGGAGTTAGAAACGTGGCATTTCTTCCACTTCTAAACTATTCTGGCTCACCAATTATGTTATACAGATAAAATCATTTATATTCTTACTTATTTCCTAATTTTATGCGGATATAAGCTTAGATTTTCGTGAAAATTTACGTACCAAGGTGGAGTAGAAGGGTGTTTCCACCGCTGCTGATAGATTGGCATATCCTGCTTGTTCTGATGCATAATGCGCACCGTTGTAGAAAGTTGGAGTGGCTGTAAGACCCGTAGCTAATCTCGGATAGGTTGATAATATACGAGAATCGTAAGCAGCTGGTAGTGGACAGACAGGCGTTGGTGTTACAGAAGCGGTTTCTACAGTTGTCGTTGAAGAAGAACGACTTGGATCGCAGCATGTTGCTGATGTGGATGTTTGGCTCGAACTACCTACAACCAACTTCAAAAAAAAAAAAAAAAATACAAATTAAAGCAGTTATAAGTCAATATTTTAATATTACAGTAGCATAAACAATGCTAGCAAGCACTATAACTATAGTAGCATAGGGGTGACTATAAAAACACGATAATTGGGAGATTTCTTTCTGCATTTTTTAACGAATTAAACTAAAAAAATTAATATTTTTTTAATTAAAAGGCGTGTTCTTATAATGGTAAACCAGATATTGTGTGTTAAATTAAATTATATGACCTCATATATTACTATAATAGCATACAAATGTAATGACAATCAAATGTAGAGCACTCTTTATCCTATTATATGTATAACATCTGTTATGGCTCCTGTTTTTAGGGATTAACAACTAATTGGACGTGCAAATTAATCATTTAGTAGTACAGATAACATGACTACAACATATAATTTAACATTAATAATGCTGTTACTCATTAATACTAAACACATCGCTAATATCATCATATACAAAGTAACAGTTTAAAAATCGATTTTTAGAAAATTCTAATTATATTTAAGTAGTTTAATTATTATAAAACATTAAAAACTGTTAAAATATATTTTTAATTAGAAAAAACTTCATTAACCTAATGCATAGTGCTTAAAATAGCATTCAATTAAGGAGAGGTGATGCTAATCTGTAGAAGTTCCCATTGAGAAAATATAAATTTAAGCTTATTTTAGACTAATATAAGCATAAAATATGTATTAAAAATATAGTAGAATTTATAAAAAAGTCGATTTAAATCAATTTTAATCATTAAATTTTTATTAAAATTAACAAAAAATATGCTACTTCTACTGCTTCTTACTACTGCTGCTATAGGTCTACATCAGTGCATTTTAACACATAAAAACCTGTTTTTAATGTTATAAGATTAAATATAATCATTTTAAAACTATGAATAGATTCAATAATAGCTTAAATTTAGTAACTTTTAATAATGTAAACGCATACTACTACAATACAAGTGTAAATATAGAAGTATATATGGTTCGTCCCTATTTAAATCAATAAATTTCAATAAATACAGTAACAAATTATGAAATATCAGTAACATTGATTTGTCTCTAGTTTATATACAACATTTTAAACAATACTCCTCCAATATTATATATCAAATTTAATAAATTTCCACAATATCTGAAGCATCTCTAATGGATATAATTGACTTAAACACCCCCTTTAAAGCAATTTTAAACTTATTAACCATAAAGAAATAAAGAAATGAAGCGTAAATAAGGCTTTAAAGAATTAAATATTGCTTTAAAAGGGTAGAAAATATGATTTTTTGAGGTAGTTTTAATGCTGTAATAGGAGATCTCTTAATATTAAACAATATTTGAAAATGCTTCATGACAACCTCTACAAAATGTTTAACATTTTTAACAATAGAACGAATAAAATATATATATACTTTTTTAATATTTATATAAAGATAATTTTATTATTAAGCAGGTGTATTAAACAATTTTTATATCTCCCCGTTTAACGACCCTCCCTCCATCCTCCCTGTTTAACGACTATAATATTTAATTTAATAATAATATTAAAGTTTCAGGAAGAAGTTTATATAATAAAATAACTAATTATTAACAAAACTAAAGAACAAATTTAAAATTTTAATAAAAATAACATAAATTCTGTTCGCCTTCTCATCCTTCATCCTCTCATCCTTTTAGTTTATCCTCTCAAGAATTAATTAAAGGAATATTTATAACTGTTACACAACCAATTAACTTGATCCTTTTGCTTCAAAAAAACACAAAAAATATAAATTTCCGGAGTCTAAATTTAGGTCAAATTTGTTTAGAAATGAAGTAAGAGGTTGAAGATTTCATAACAAAACTATTGACTTTATAACACGAATTTAATCTTTATTATTCTTAAATTTATTAATTTTACATTGTAAATTAATTTTATAAACTAATGAATTAATCAATTTTCTAGGTGTTAATTAAAAAAATGCAGATGATGATGATGGCAAGTGTCACTCTCCTGACCTTCTGCATGGGTTGTGTGACACAGCATCCCTCTATATAGGCTTACAGTAATGAGGTGCCTCTTTATTACACTTCTCCCCAGCGCAAATTACGTCATCTTGGATCATACCAACACTCTTAGTCACCTCCCAATGCGAAATTAAAGGACATTGACGTAGTCATGTTACATGTCCATGCAGTTTTTATCATTGCTGGCATCCATATCTTCACGCACTTCTTCATTATCAATTACTATTACTCATTTTTTAAATTAATTTTCTGTCTAAAATACGTTTCTATGGCCATTTTTTGCTGTTTATAAACTATAAATCGAGGTAATTAACCTAATTTCATATTTTATATACTGTAAATATGATTTTTTTTAACAGTTAATTTATAGAAATCTAATTCGCAGTTTGTGTGTTGAGTAGCAATTTTCCACTTTTTTTAAAGGATACGACTTGATTTTTCACAGATTTTTCTAAAATATTTAGGGAATTTTAAAATTTTTTAGGGATTTTTAAGGGATTAATTCGAAAAAAAAGATAAATTAGTTACATAAATTTGAATTATCTTAAAATTAATTTCTAAATTTGTACGTTTTTTTAGGGAAAAATTATAAAATTTAAACCTTCAGGAAATTTTTTAAAATTTTAAGGATTTTTACCGGATAAAACTTAAAAATTTCGTATTTTTCCCTTAGAAAATCCCTTAAAATAAAAAATCCTTAAAAGTTTAAAATTTTTAATTTTTCGCCCTAAAATACATATAAATTTAGAAATTAAATTGTAAAAAAATTAAATTTGTCTAACAAATTTTTGAATTTTTATAAATTAATTTAACGAAATATTAATTAAATTCTTTCTGGTTATGAAATTTTATTTAAAAATTATTTCTATATTTTATTTCATATTTCTAAGCACACTTACCACTAATCTTACCTTTAAAGATATTAATTTTTTTTCAAACTTCCCCAAATTTTATCCCTAACAATTTTAATTTTTTGAAGTACAAATAAATTCTTTTTATACAAATAAATATTAAAAAAATATATTTTAAAAGCAAAAAACATCTAAATTTTATTTAAAACATTCTGAAAAATTCCTAAATTATTCCTTATT